AAACAATTGTCTGATATGGGAGTATATGCTTCTTACGAGGAATATCCATATTCACGACTTTGAAAGCACAGTCAATATATCATTCAATACGTGCCGCAAATGCAAGCTTCACCAGAGCTAATAGGCAATGGGCAACATTCCATGTAAGCCCTCATCATTCCCAATCAACTTCCGTAGCATAAATACCCATTATCTCCCCCATTCAGACCTTCTTCTCTATCTCCATCTTCATACTCTTTCCAAATCTTCAGGAAAGAACATTGCAACAATAATCATACGAAAGCCCTCAGAGACAAACGCATATCGCATGCTCTAGGCATGCCTACATACCAGTATTACTCTATCCGAAGAATGGAGAAGGTGATATAGCCACTATACAATGCCAAGCAGAATGCCTGGGACATCGACCATGCTTCCAATCTTGCAATTGCAAGAGAACAAAAACCGTCTAGACAAATGAATGCTAAGATGATGAGATGCTCAATCTGGCTCTGACCAGCTCCAAAATCGAGGAATCGAAGAAATGCTAGAGGCCTCAATAGAAAGGGCTAGTAGTGATTGGCTATTGCTACAGAACTCTTCATCGAGAAACTTATGATGGCTTCTCGAATTCATAAACTATGAATGACTCCATCCATGGCTTGCTGGATCTAGAAATGGTTGCTACAACAAAACACGTGGGTATAGTGAGCCACTTCTGGTTCACAGTCAATATATATACGCTGATAGTATCGAATCCGGCATTGTGCCGAGAACTGAAGCGAGACGAGACAATGCTAAGAGAACTGGAACCCGATGAGGCCATGCCACGGAAATGGAATTTAGGCACTGTAACCATAGAATGGAAATCCTGACTCTCGAGTTTCATTGATTTGATCACTTACGCGGGCTAATTACACGGTGTTAGCTGCACCAGGCGTGATCAGCACCACGATCAAGTGCCTCTTATGTTCTCATACTAGTTACTGATTTGATATAGCATTTAACTGGATGCCAAATACCAGTGTATACAGCATTCTTCCTTCAGAAAGATCGAAAGCAGAATGGACACATGATATGGTGGATGCACTTCTGACCCAACTGTGGATTGGAATGCGATCTAACAGACCCAAGAAATTCTTCGCTATACCCCCCGCTTTCTACTATAATTAGGACCTAAAAAAAACACAATCTCAGCGAGCGCCTCCGTGAACGTCGCTTGATGTAAGTATCGTGATTTATTCTGGGGAAATGCTATTGCAGTCATTAGCGACTCGTCACTTTATATAGCAGTCTGCCAGATCAAAATCTGATACTGTCGAGAACCAGCGACTATGTTGCACGCGAGCTATCATCAACCATTATACTCTTCACCGTGAGAGACGTTCAAAATGTTGCTTCGTGGCTGTCTTGCAAAGCCGTAAGCCCAAGCCCAAGCCCCAGCCCACGTCGTGTCTACCGGCCTGATCAGTGGCATAGACTGCTCTTGATGGCACAAACCACGCAGAAATTGTGGCAGCTTGTCCTAACCTCCGCTGGACTAAGATTGCTGAAACTGGGTACGGTCAGGTTTATTTCAAGAGTACTAACATCGTGCCTTCAGTCGTTGGGGATGACTAGGAAATGTCATTGTCGATATGGAAACTCAAACCACAGTGGACGGTACTATGAGAAGACAAAGGAAAATTGGCTCCTTATAGCGAGCGTTGAAGAGGAACCGGCTCCTATTTCAGAGCACAGACAACAACACATTATCATCCCGATAAGCTCTTGACCGTTCAAGTGGCTGTCCCATACTATTCCTGACGTTGAGAAAGATAAGCTCTTCTGAACACATAGTAAAATGAAGGAAACCTTATTCATGCAGCGTTGTCTAAGGGTGGAAAGTTAAGGCAAATATCCCCATGAATACCAACATCCCTGGCAAAGCGGCGTTTCCAACCGAAATCGAGAATGAGATACTACCTCTTCCAGTATGAATCTTGGAGAACCTGGTCATCTTCTTATGGTAGCTTCCAGGATAAATTTTTTTTGCCTTATGAGATTGACAATTCGCCTACAAAATTAGCACATAAACTACTAGTGACAAGTCTCGAAATGTACGATGGTACAATTGAGAAATCACCTGCAATTAGTTCGTCATGCTCTTCCAGCTTCATAGAATATTGGCACACGCCTATTGTCAGACCTTGGGCAAGGAATCAACATGCAAAACGCTCAGCATGTGTGCTGCCAGGGAGAGAAAAACTCGAATTGATAATTGACTTTTGTGGAGGAAGAGGGACACTCAATGGACTCACAGACTACATATGCTGGAGACGAAGACGCTGAAAACGAGCCGAGTGGTTTGGTGATCCTCGAAGCTCAAATGTATTTGAGGACGTTTGGACTAGCTCAAGTCGTGGCTTATATACCCTTATGGCGGATACGAGATCGCTTTTAGGCTTCTGGGCCCGCTGATTTATCAACAACCCTATCTTTCCGCTTTCTCGGACTGTCTGTAAAGCTGTCTGGACCGCATGGAGATATCTTTGGCCTACCTTATGAAGTCGATGGGGAATACTTTGGACGAGCTCAATGGTGATATTCATGAAGAGGGATATTACACGATGTTGGACTCGTTAGCATACTTAGGATATAATATTAATATATAAACAAGTCACATGTCACATATAGAGTGTATTTACCGATGAATTATCAGCTAATATCCAGAATGGAGAATATGCGACCGTAACATGTGTGTAACCATGGGTCCTTGTTCTAGGGAGCAATAATAAATGACCTATGTCCTTCCCCCTCCAAAGGTAAACTTCATTCAGCTATTAGATACAAGAGTAATATATGCGCTTCCCTACTCAAAACTACAAAGCAGCACTTGCTTCAAGTATCTAGAGTTCAACTGAGTCCATCCCCAATATCTCCATATCCTGTGGGTCAGTTTTAGATAGAAATCATGGCATATGATTGGACACATCACGTGGTGATCTACATTTTAGAGCCGTCGTCCTGCAACACCGTGCATTAGCGTGCTTTCTAGAGCCATCAACCTGCAATACTGTGCATTAGTGCCTTGTTTAGAGCCATCCAGTCGGCCCATGCATTAGTGACATATTTTAGAGCCATTGTCCTGCAACATGGTGCATTAGCGCCTTATTTAGAGCGACTGTCCTGCAACTGTGTGCATTAGTGTTTATTCTAGAGCAATTGCATTGCAACACCATGCATGAGATTCAGTTCTAGAACCATTCTATATGCAGTCTTGTGTATGAGTGCAGCTTTTAGAGCCATCAACCTGCGACATTGTGCAGTAGTGTCAGCTTTAGAGCCATCAACCTGCGACACCGTGCATTAGCTTTATATTTAGAGCGACTGCTTTGCAACACCGTGCATTAGCGCATTCTCCAACATGGTCTGTGCTGAGGCTGACATGCATGTTTGTGCTACCCTATACAAGGTGTAATTGGCTACTAGATCTGTGTTGCTATATTCATGCACAGTCCTGCATGAATATTGCTTCTTGAGTAACCACAATATGGCCTAGTATGCAGTGTCCGTGTGTGAAGTGGTTTGGATCTGATTGGTCTGTCTGCTCAAGCCACCTGCACGGGCTTGCATGATTACTATGGCGTTGTTCTGCTGTAGCCGGTGGTCTGTGCATAGCCAGGGATCCATTTCCTTGCTCTTTGCACTTTGCAGTTATGCTTCTGAGATGATAGATATGTGCTATATATTTTTAGCTTAAGTGTTGTTTAGTACATACGACCACAGGGTGTGGAAAACAGGGCTTCCCGTCCGCTCAGCCGTACTTAAGCCACACGCCGGGAGGTTAGTAGTTGGGTGGGTGACCACCAGCGAATCCCTTCTGTTGTATGTATTTTGCTTTTTCTTCATTTTTCTTTTTTAAATGAAGAACGAAGACAATCAAGCTTCTTATGTCATTGCGGAATGATGTGTGCCTTTGTTGTGGGAGGGGTAGTGATGGGGCAAATAACAACGCTGTATCCTGGAACGCTATATGATGTAGGGTAAGCCATGATGTCAAGTAGTATAATCATCATTTCCATCGATCCTCTCATGTCTTTGCTTCCTGATTCTGTATAGATCCTCACGGCATGAATATACATATATACGTAGACTGTATACTGCCAGTGATCTTATATCTGTTAACCAAACTGCCAAAATACAATAGGTTGCATCATCCACTGACGAGCTACTTAGAGATAGTATATACCTGAAATCCATATAGATAATATTACTATAACATGGAACAAACCAAAGCAATTCAACCAGATAGTGGAACCAACAGTGTCACCATCACAGATTAACCAGACTTACTCAATCAATTATACTAAACTATTATAGATGTTCTCCCCCTAACCCCCCCTACATCCTTCGTCTTAAACCTTGCTAACAGCTCTGCCAATATATCTCGTCTCTTATTCATGCTCGCCAACTTTTCTCTCTATATCTTTCCACTGACAGTCCGCGGGATCCTCTTAATGAAGAACACGCCCCCATCCAACGCCTTATACACCGCCAACCGCTGACGTGCAAAATCATACACCTCATCGGAGCTAACTCTAGCACCCGGGGCTCTAGCTCGCACAACATATGCACGAGGAGCCTCCGAGCTTCCATCCGATAGACAGGTGCCGATGACTGCGACGTCCGCAATGAGCGGGTGCTGGAGCAGTACGGCTTCGATTTCAGCGGGGCAAACTTGGTATCTATTTCCACGACTGTGAGCGTCAGTCAATGGAATAGAATGTCAATAGGGAAAGGAAGGGAATGAACGTTCCCCCGCACTTTAATCAACTCCTTTGTCCTGCCCACTATAAAATACTCCCCATTCTTGACGTAGGCCACATCGCCCGTATCAAACCACCCTTCAGCATCAACCATGGACTCATTACGTCCCAAGTATCCCGTGAATAGACCAGGCCCTCTCACATATAGCTGTCCTGGGACTTCATCATCCTTGACCACTTCAGCACCAGACACAAGTCTTGCCTCACATCCCGTAGTGATAGGTCCAATACTTCCCAAGTCACCCTGTCCTGGTCTGCCATTGGCAGGGTAGCGTTGGTGAAGGGCAACTCCACACTCTGTCATACCCCAGAGTTGTCCGGCACAGGCATCTGAATGCAACAGACCTGGAAGGCAATGCTCGGAGATCGACTGGTAAGGACCAAGCATCGAGCCCCGCGGATGATCATCCAATGACATACTGATCGTCCGAGATCACCGGTCATTCCAACTAGCAAATATGTCTTGTAGGCACTCAAGTCCACAAGAGAACTAGTCGATAGGGGATATGCCAAAACTGGCCGCGAATGCAACCAGTTGACAATGATGGAGCAATCGCTGCTGAGTGAGTCCGACCAAATGTCACCGGGAGTTATCATGGAAACAGTAGTCTGCGAGCCTCCTTGCTGTTCTGCAAACAGACAGGATGTTGCCAATATATCTGAGCAGGAAATGCCTTTACCCTCTAGGTTTGAGACTGAAGAGTTGCCGTAGAACGTATGTAAGCCGTAGGTCGCTACTGCGGGAGGTAGCAAAGACTTAATGCGAGCGAAAGTGCCGTCTGCCTGAACTCTGAAACTGGCGAAAACCGATACTCCAGTAGACAACAGGCAGGATATTGCACGCGATGAGCTACGGGGTGGAATGATAATTGTGGTTGGGCTTCTTCCGCTGACCTTAGTGCTTGTAACAAAGCGTACTTTAATCCCTTCCGTGGAAGCCATAATGGCTATGGATTGTTGAAGAGATGCGGCAGCTTCATCATTTAGAAGAACAGCATTGGCTGGTGCTTTGTTGACCAGGTGACGGGTAATTATAGCCGTAGCTACTTCGTGTAAGAATGCTGCCTCATGTTCCTCAGCCAGCCAGCTGGGAGCGGTTAAGCACCAGGATGCTGGTGTAGAAATGACCGAGCCATGATAGACAGACAGTGCTAAAATATGTATGTGAGTCTTCTGGTCTCGCCCGAAAACAAGATGCAGATAACTAGCAGACTGGACATGGATAGTGGAAAGAGTGGCATAATGAACCCGAATAAAAATGATATCTTTATTCTTGCTCTGCTGATGTAAGGTCTGGCCTGGAAGCATTTGCTGGGGTAATGAGGCTAGTGTGAGTCCCGCCTTATCAGGAACAACCTTGACGGGAACCAAATGGGGATTGATATGTTCCATACTGGAAAAGCCATGGCTAGTGAAGAGTTGTCGGTTTATTGTATGGCAGGGAAGTACCCGAGGGATCATCATTATCCTGTTTTCTAGATGGAGTTCCCATTCAGGATTCTCAGTGCAGTCTACAAGGCTATAATTGTTGTAGACATCCGTGTGAACAAGTCGCATGAGTGTAGTGGCTAGGGTATCAGTGTCAATAGCATCAGGGTCAATGATGGTGAGGTGCTGGAGTAGCGGATGTGAATTCTCGTTAGCTAAAGTGCGTAGAAGGCCTTTGGTCATGGCCTGATAGGGGGTTTCCAGTCGCGGACCAGAGAAGCTTCCTCGCAGTCCCAAACAGTGCCTGCAGACTGCGGAGACGTTCTGCGGTAAGCCCCTGCAGATAAGGACTATCCATGTCGGACAAAACCAAAACGGAACGGCCACACTTGACGCATCAGGTGGAGGGACGAATGCTTCGAGCGTAGCAGCATGGTTGATCCGAGCGAAAAAAGGGGATACAAAACCCCGGACCTGCGTCACTAATCGTTCTGTACGGGCACAGGAACCCCCAACTAAAACGAGATCCGAGTACTGCCCCGTGGCGGGGACTGATAATGGATGCTGCAACTTCGAAATATGGTCGTCAACAGCCTGAGCGCTGAAAATTGCAAGCGCTGTCTGAGCCCTTACTTCCGGAGGTGATACAGTTTCGAGTCCGCCAAAGCCCGTGTTTTCCAGCACTTGATCCCAGGTTGAAGTGGAGACTATGGGCCCCCAGGGGCGACCGTCATGTTCTCCCAACCACCATCCGTCGACATGAACCCTTCGTGTCTCCAAAAGTCTGCCGAGCGTATCGACTGTCCGAGCAAGACTGAATGTGTGCAAGCTAGTGTTTTCGAGCCATTCACCATTCCAGCCGGGCAAGGATCCCTTGGTGCATCACCCAAATTTGACTCCATATCTATGATGTACCTGCTGCATTGTCTACCTCCGCCAACCGATCACAAGGCGACTGTGTTTGCGCACCTGAAACGCCACTTGACTCCGAAAGGGACTCTGTTTGGTGCCACGATATTAGGTTATGGCGCACAGCACAATCTGCTCGGGCGTCTGACCATGCGCCTCTATAACTGGAAAGGCATATTTGGAAATACGGACGACAGCCCGGAGGTATTTGTCAAGGCATTGGAAAATGAATTCGAGGAGGTCGAGACCCATATTGTAGGAGTGGTGCTACTCTTTCGGGCTCGCAGACCCCGGTTGGCTTGAATAATTTGGTTGTAGGGCTCTGAAGTGTCTCATGTGCTTTACATTGAGGGTCCTGACAATCAAAACCTGGCAAGGGAGACCTGCATACTATTACACTTTGGTTCCTATTCGATCAGGCCTGGATAGTGCATCGGGAATTCTGGGATGTATTGTTTTATTTTTCATACGGTTTTCTGTCCCTGAGGTTCCGATTAGCTCCCGATTCTCGTGCAACATTAGTAAACGAACATTAGCCGTCGTTCGCAGAAATCCAGTATATTCAGCTTGCTGAAACCTTATTTGCCAATAATTTCGAGCAAAAGGTCAATGATCAGACGCTGTATAAGCCTGAATCCTTCGGGCAGGCTCGCAGGGTCCCAGAAAGGAGATTAGTGAAAATCTGAATTGCCAATCTTGGATGGGGCCTGGACGCTGCGCTCGTGAGGAGACGGATAAAGCAGCTCGGGTCGCCGATCTTTCTCCAACTTGCCGATCCCTCTCGGTCTCGTATCTTCTGCAAGATCGCAAGCTCAAAACCAACAAAGGCCCGGGGCAATAGAGCAACCGGTTCGGAGTTATTATTCCCGACGCTGATGCTGACACGTAAGGCTAGTATGTGCCTCGATGCCGTCATAATGAGGGGGTGATAAGAAGGCAAGCTTTTTCTACCGGTATACTACCACAAGCCAGCAGAATCCCTCTTTAGTCGACCAACATGGAAGAGAACCCATGCCAAATCCAGCCAGGATCGGGAACAAACGAATGGTCCACTCCGTTGATACTTTTCCATGATGCAGGCGGCACTGTGTTCCCGTATTTTTGCTTAGGCGAGCTGCACCGGCCGCTTTACGGCATCGGAAACACTCACTTCGACCACGGAGGCAAATGGGATCACGGCATTCGTCAGATGGGAGTTGTCTATTCACACTTACTTCGGTCGGTCATCGGGTCCGGAGAAGTTATCCTGGGAGGTATGACGAAATGTTAGCGCTAACGCGGAATCTCTGGCACTAACAATGAATTGCTTTTTTGCACAAAGGATGGTCTCTCGGCGGCTGTGTTGCTTTAGAAGTTGCAGCTCGACTAATGAAACTTCCCCAGTACACGGTGCAGGGCGTTATCATGATCGACAGTGTCTTTCCGACTGTCAAGGTCACAGACCAGTATCCCCGCACGATCGCTGATGTTGCTGCCAGCTTCCAGCTACCGGCCCGAATGTCCGATGCCCGGCGGGTACAAGCGCAGCAATGCATTCTGTACGCTCACGAGATGCAGCGTGAATGGCGACCGCCACAGTTTTCGTTAGGTCTGCCTCCTGCAATACTCATACGCGCAGCCGATCCGGTACATCTAGACCCCGAAGCGAAGCCCCACTACATCGATCTCATCCGGGACTGGACGTACCTGGGATGGGAGGAGTACGATACGAGCTTCATCAAAGCTTGCTTGGAGATCCCAGGCAACCATTTTACCATATTCGATGACCAAAATGTCTGATTCCCTTCGGCATTTGTCATGGCCTTGCTGATAATGCTGCAGTGTTACCAAACAACAGCCAGAATCCGGGAAGCTTGCGCAATGTTGACTGGACCGCAACAGTCAAATCCCGAATGATCGACAGTGCATCAATCTAGATGCAGGGATTCATCGAGAGCATAAGACCATCGAATCGAGTCGACCTGCGTATTGCATCTTAATAGGTCATCTCCTGGGAACGAGGCGTATCTGTTCAATTGGATGTTGTTGGAATTCTAGCTCTGTAGATAGCAATGCTGGAAACGGAGCTGAACTGGGCCGGCCTGGGAAAATGAGCCGGTTTGGTTGCGTATCCCGAGACAAGCTTCTGCGTAATGATAGTCTATTGATGCACCAATCCATTTGAATATTTTCACAGCCAATTGCATCCCATCTCAGCTGGTGGCGACTGCACAAGTGATGCAGTAACTTATTTGTAACTGCCGAGGCTTCCTCACCGAAGCGAGCACCTTGTGTGCGCCGTCAATTCCAGATAAGAACCGCGGGGAATTGCAGAAGAAATATAGTTTATAGATATATTAGGGTGGAAGCCCGAGCCACAGTGGAGATTGAAGATCCAGAGTCGTCAAACACATCAGTATACCCACCATGCTTGATAAACACATACCTGATGGTCACTTAGAGACAACAAGTGCCCACTGGAGAGATCTAAATCAAGTTGTTCAGAATGGAGAACTCAGTATCGACGGCTATAGCCTTAGTCTTGCCGATGTTGTCGCGGTAGCAAAGTTAGCCAACATCCCAGTCAATAACATCTACTCACACGAATGAGCCTAACATATGAGATAGATACGGCTGCCAGCCTCGACTTACCGAGAAGCCTGAGACGATCGATGCTATTAACGGGAGTGTGATAGCACTAGCCGAATGCCTTCGAGATGGGCATCATATCTACGGTGAGTCGAACCTTCGAATCAAATTTTAGATGGTATTAGAATTGACCAACGATCTATCAGGTGTCAATACTGGATTCGGGGGGAGTGCTGACTCACGGACGAACCAGACGACCACTTTGCAGAGCTCTCTCCTTCAGCTACTCCAAAGCGGCATTCTTACCACATGTGATACTACCAATGAAGGCCTACAACCCAAATTACAAGAGCAAAGCTCCCACTCCATGCCTTCCGAATGGGTCAAGGCGATTATGCTTGTAAGGAGCAATTCAGTTGCCCGGGGCCATTCGGCCGTGTCACTGCCCGCAATTAGTGCAATCTTGCGGTTGATTCGTGAGGATGTCATCCCTGTAATTCCTCTTCGGGGAACTATTTCCGCATCAGGGGATCTCATGCCCCTCGCATACGTTGTCGGGGCGATTGAAGGGAGTCCCGGGATCTATGTGCGAGTCAAGGATGGATCGGAGCATCATGTTGTCACAGCTCAGAAGGCACTGCAGACAATTGGTGCTAAGGGAGTCACGTTGGGACCCAAAGAGGGCCTTGGATTGGTGAACGGCACAGCCGCTTCAGGTGCTCTTGCCGGCTTAGTGCTCTATGAGGCGCATCAGCTGGCCGTACTTGCGCAGGCAGTTACTGCTCTTACAGTTGAGGCCATACAAGGGAGCACAGAAAGTTTTCATCCTTTTATCGCTCGGGTGCGTCCGCATGAAGGCCAGATTGAAGCCGCGGAAAATATTTTGTCCCTGCTGAAAGGCTCTCTACTTGCCAGGGGAAGTAGTACCGCCCAAACTAGGACGGGACTTGTCCAGGATCGTTATTCCCTCCGAACAGCCAGTCAATGGATTGGACCCCAACTGGAGGATCTCCTTCTAGCGGATCGGCAAGTTCAGATTGAACTCAATTCAACGTCGGATAACCCGCTTATTGATACGGGCTCGAAGACCTTCTACACGGGAGGTAACTTCCAAGCAACCTCGATTACTTCAGCAATGGAGAAGACCCGACTTGCGTTGCAAATGTTCGGGAGAATGTTGTTTGTTCAGTGCAACGAGATGATCGACCCCAATCTGAACAATGGTCTGCCCACCAATTTAGTCGCTGACGACCCCAGCCTTTCCTTCACTATGAAGGGGGTAGATATTAACATGGCGGCCTACATGTCTGAGTTAGCGTATCTCGCCAATCCAGTTAGCTCCCACGTTCAGACCGCAGAGATGCAGAACCAAGCGCTCAACTCACTGGCATTTGTTTCAGCACGGTATACCATGAAGGAGGTTGATATTGTGTCAATGATGGGCGCGTGTGCACTATACGTCGCTTGCCAAGCCCTCGACCTACGTGTCCTGCAACTCCGCTTTTTTGAGAGGCTTCAGAGTGCTGCTAGAGATATCACAAACGAAGCTTTTGGGAAGGTGCTTGAGCCACATGAAATAGACAAGGTAGCGGATCATCTTTCCGAAGCGTTCCAGAATTCTTGGCCATCGACTTCACGTCTCGACCTAACCGATCGCTGCAAGCGCGTGGGCGAGATGTTCGTCCCCGTGCTTTTTGGGGCTCTTTTGGAGATTGTCCCACAGGATCGGCAAAATTCCGATTTATTCACAGCAATTTATGCATGCAAGATGATGAGTGTCCTCAAGCTTGAAGCTGTTTATCGAGAGGTGTTCGCCGAATTTTGCACTTTGCAACCAACAGCCGACTTTCTCGGAATAGGGACAAAGGAGATCTATACGGCCATTCGACATAACCTTCAAGTCCCCTTCCACCAGGGGTTCGTTGAACACCCCTCGGCGAGCCAAAATGATTTGCCAGAGACAATCAATGGTAGAGCCAAGAAGACTGTTGGGGGGTGGATATCAGTTGTATATGAAGCTTTGCGAAACGGTACGCTGAGTGGCACAATCCTAAATTCATTTCAGCAATAGAAACCGGACAATATTGGCATAATGGAAGCGGGTATAGCCCTTTCAACAAGGTCAAGGGATGACACCAGCCTCTGATCCTACTCGAGGGTTACCGGCATCCTGGGCACTTGATACAGCAAGACTCATAGATCATATTCGTCGCTGAAAAAGCCTTAGATAGCCAACACAGGTACTTGAGAGAATTATAATGGCTGTAGTGATTATATTGATGTTCAAATTCAAAGATGTGTAGTTGTCAAAAGTCAAGACTCCATTAAGCGGGAATAGATGGAGATGGTCATGTGGTCAAACGCGTACCACGTGCTTTTTTGGGCGTTTTCTTAAGAACCGCTACCGGGTTTCCGATTTGCCCATATCCCACAGTCACCGCATAAGATAGAGAAGACTGCTCTGATTGCGATTGAGTATATAATGCAAAGATACATCCCGGATGTATACATATGACTTCAACGAAACCTTTCCAATGTATTCACAGTACTGTCATTCAAACCTGTTCCCCTCATCTAGACGACCCTCACAATGACGGTCAAGAGGTGAAAACTTTGCGTTTTTCCCAATTTTCGATGAACTGCTTCAGCAAGGTTGTGTCAAGAGCAACATACTTGATGTCCGGTCGGTCTTGCAAGGCGCGTGTCGTGTTCGTCGGATCATACACAGGAGTATTCTTGCTTGTCTGCAGCCGGCTTAAACCCTCATGAACAGGCTCGTCAAGCAGGGGCATCATGGATTCCAATGCATTTCCTGGAGAGTCACGTATCCTCTCCACCCACTCCCTATAATCGACCATCTTCACGGGGTATCCGATATCGCGCAGCATGGTGTACTTCTGATCGTGACCGATCGACAGAGACCTATCTGGTGGCACAATATGATACGAGCGACCGAGATTGTCCCGACTGGATGCAATATGCAGAACAGCCTCCGCAACATAGTCGACTGTCACATAATCCAAAAACTGGTCGGGGAGATGGGGATAGCAACCGCACTGAATGCTGCCCATAATCAACCGGGAGAAATAGTCTTTCTCGTTGGCAAGGGCGCTTTTACTGTGGCCGATGATGAACCCGGGTCTGTATATTGCAGTTGGCAGACCGCCAGCACGTGCTCGGCGAACGATCTGTTCGGCGACGAATTGGCTCGCCGCGTATCCGGTATCATAAGGGAGGGCATTGAGGTGTGGATCCAGCGACTCATCCTCGTACACGCGGTCCACCTTGTTGATATATCCAGTCACAGTCCAGACGTCAATCGACGAGACGTAATGAAGAGATTTGCGACGACCTAGCATTGCGGCCCGAATAACGTTCCGTGTACCTAGAACATTAGGCACATGGTGCGCCTCGTAAGGCTGGCACCAGTTGACCCGTGCACCAACGTGAAAGACAACGCTCGCCCAATTTATGAGCCATCTGAATTGTTTCTCCCCGAGCCCGAGAGTCGAATCTCCCATGTCGCCATGCAGGACCATGATCTTCTGGGTTGTTTCCCGTCGACCATCCCAGAGATTGTACTTCTCCAGCGTTTGCTTGACTCGAGTGCTGGCATCGTCGGAATTCTTGCCGCGGGCAAGGCAAGCGACCTTCTGTACCGATGGCATGGCTAGGAGCCCATGAAGTATATGTGCACCAAGGAATCCCGTAGCACCGGTGAGGAACACGCGACCTTCGCCATTGGAATGCCAATCAGGGGGAAGGAGGTCAGACCCTAGGTCTTTGGAATCCTCCACGCAACGCTCTAGGCTGAATTGCGCGCTATTGCTATCTGAGCTGTTCATGGATTTTGTGAGTTGTTCCACCGTCGGATTTTGATGGAGTTGAGCCAGAGTGATGCTTTCTTTATAGTCCCGTTTAATCATACCGACGAGGCGAGCTGCTTGAAGAGAGGTCAGTCCTAGGGCGAACATGTCGTCATTCATACTGATCTCCGATTTGGGGAGAAATCCCTGGAGTGTCGATAAAAGCCATTGAGTTATGTCCTCATTTCCTTCACGATCATTCGTTCTTGTGGTCTTGGTTATATTGTTCTTGGGATGTCCTCCCTCCTTTCGGTGGTGTGGCTGCTCTGTTTCATTGTGTGGTTGAAGCGCCTTCTTATCAACCTTTCCAGTATGGGATAAAGGGAGCCTGCGCTTCATGTATATCGTGCTCGGCACCATATATTGGGGCAGCCTCTCTTTCACCCAATCAATCAACTCGTCAGAAGTGTCTTGACTATCCCAGTTGGATGGAACCACGTAAGCTTCAATATACCCCGAGCTGCTCTCTTCAGGTATGTATTTGACAACGCACGCGTGAACCTTTGGATGTTTCTCAACACAGCATGAAATATCCCCTAGCTCCACCCGGTACCCCGAAATCTTGACTTGGTCATCAGCGCGGCCGATAAACTCAAGGACTCCACTTTTGTCTCTCCACTGAGCAAGGTCGCCGGTTCTGTAGACTCGGATAGGTTTATCTGACGAGTCACCCAACAGAGTTGCAGAAAGAGAGATAAAATGTTTCTGATTTTCTTCATTCCGGTTAAGATATCCTGGCGATAACTGAGGCCCCGCAATGCAGATTTCTCCAGTGTGCCCCGCCTCGGTGATGGGATTGAGGTCCTCATGAAGGAGGTAGACCTTTGTATCCCCAACAGGCCGTCCTATGCTCACGTGCGAGCGTCGCATTTCCTCTGGATCTAATCGGCCCACCGTTGCAAACATAGTCGCTTCTGCAGGGCCGTAGCCATTCCATAGATTCTCCGGAGGTGCGGCCTCAAGTACCTTACGCAGGGCACTGGAACTGACCGCCTCGCCCCCGACCACGACGTGGCGTAGTCCACGGAAAGTAGATGGCGCAGTTAACGCAACAACGTGGAATAGAGCTGTGGGCACAATCATGGTGGAAATCTTGTGCTCACGCGCGAAGTCCTGCAGAGATGGTGGATCAGCACGCACAAGATCGGGTACTCGAACGATAGTCGCGCCGGCGAGCAGGGTCAGCCACATCTCGCAGACAGACAAATCAAATCCAGGTGTGATGAGGGCCGTCATCCGGTCTGAGGGAAGCAGCGGCCCGAAGGGGAAGTTATCGAGAGCGTGAAGAATACTGTTGCCGAGGACCTGGATTGGCTTAGGTCTGCCGGTGGAACCCGAGGTGAATATGATATGGCTGCGATGTGACTCGGGACTATTCATGCGAACAGTAATCTCAGTCTCCGTGTCCAGGTCGACTTTAGCTTCGAGAACCGACTCGATGAGAGTGGGACTCAACTTCTGAACTTGATTGACGTTGTCTTTATCGGTAATGATATACTTAGTGTTCAAGTCTTCCAGGATGGACTTGAGGCGATCCTCAGGCGCAGCTGGGTCGACGGGAACACAACTTCCTCCTGCGCGAAGAACTGCAACCTGGGCCATAACCTGGTGTAGTCCAGTGTTGGCCAGAATGCACACCGGTGTGTCAGGCTCAAAAGACTGTTGGTATAGTAGATCAGCAACCATGTCGGCCCGGGCGATCAGTTCCCGGTAGCTGACGACGCGGTCACTATCCACAACTGCCACAGCATCGGGAGCCGTGTTAGCCTTTCGTACCAGGATTGCTTCCATTGGTATACGTGAAGTCTTCTAAGTTGCGGGTAAATGGGGCGAAAAGTTCTGATAACTATCCGCTATAGAATTGAAACACAAATACCGATATTAGATGAACAGACGAAGAGGGGATTGCTTTATACCCTACCAGACCAATTACCAATTACTGCCGAACATTTGAATTTCGAATAATCTTGAAAACCAGCATACAACGCTCGTCTTATCAGGATATTAATCATATAGACTTGTTTTGACTAATAATAATCGAGACCAGCTCCAACACAAACCTGCAAACAAGAGGCAATGCTCTATGATCATCATTATGCAATAACCCTTGCCTTCTCCATGGGCGAGCCTATAACGTGGCCCAGTGATATTTTAGGGAACAACTAAGTTCTGTTCGCAGATTTTGGCTTGTAAATGAGGTGGAGATGTGACACAACACAGTGTGCTATGATCATGAAGGTCTGATACTCCCAGGCTTCTGTTTCGGTACATAGTACTTCAAACTTTAACAGAATCCCTGCTGAGTCCCTAAAGCTTATCTGCAGAAACTTACTTATTCAGTAGATTGCAAAGTGAAATTCATACCTCAACGAAATGCTATAGACTATGGTCATGATTATATAATGAGATCGAAATTTCACATAGACAGATCTTTGTTCGAGGGTTGCTGATCTTCCTTTGGATTACAATATTTTATTCGCAGGTCCTTATGCCGGATTTGCATTGCATCGATTTGACTTTGCGAATTCCGAGGAAAGGCTTCGGGTGGCAATAACATGGACTACATCATTCACCATGTTGCACTATATGTCTCTCCAGCGCTTGGGCCCTCGTAGGGACACTGAGATGATTTCGTGGGAAGTGAAGGCATAGCAAATTACTTTGGGGAGTATGACAGAATTCTTGACTTCATAACTGCTGTGGGCCGCTGAAGTCTGCCAAACCCACTCATGTTGCAAGATTCATCTATCTGTCTCCAGTTTTTGGAAAGCCTCACTCATATCATCACTTTGACCCAAAAGCGATAGTATCTCTGACATATGCGGAAATACTGCTCCAATGGACACCACTGATGATCTTTGGCACTCCGTTAAGATGCATTGAGGAAAGATTCCGCGTCGTTCTCTTTCCTCAATACTTGTAGACACCAACTTTATTGTCTGCAAAACTTTGGCGCAATTGCGAAATGAACGGCAAAGTTATCAGTGGGCCTTTAAATCCTTCCAGACTAGTTGGTTAATGCAAAATCATTCCATTTGCTCTTAGATGCTGAATACATCTCATATCCCTACTCTGCAAGGATGCGATAGTGGCCGTGACATATTCGTCATAACCGTATCAATAGAGGCCACTTGAGATCGGCCACAGTATGGAAAAGAGCTAGTCTCCTTAGTCTCAATAGTACTAACTACACGCGTACCTGCGAGTCGCTCATACTATTCAATATCAGCGGAGGTTGCAAAGGTATACCGTTCGACTATGAGTGGAAACCCTATATCGCGGAGGCAAGTCTACCTATATCCTTGCTATGTGCTCCGAACCAACGGGGCATATACGGCCCGATACAGCATCTGTTGCTAGATCCAAGTGAACTACTACTTAATCTAGTTAGTGACAGTCCCATGGGAATCTTCCTTCCGTACAACTCGCCGAAATCGACGAATATCCCAAGCTCCCACGAATGAGGCAGGCCGCCACCTGGGTTGACGTTTCCTTTCCGCAAACGAATGATCTACATTGCTTTTTCCCACCCACGACTACAAAGTCTTCAACAGATGGTCTATGAGTTCACGATGATGTCGAGCGAAAGAAACCCAGTACGTTGTCAAGCAGACGTGGCCGGAGGATTTAGTTTCTCGCAATGTTATGCAGTCGGACCCCATTATTTAATTTTGGCTATCCGATACAAGCATGATACTGCACTTCGGGTTACTTTATGGTTGGGGTGAACTGGAATATATCTTATAGTCACCTTTCCTGGGAGCTGCAGCCACATCGGCCATGGTTTCACAGGATGCCGGACGCAGGCCTGAGGCCACTAGGAACTTTCCGCGCAGATACTGTGTATGTGTCATCCGCATTTTGAACTAACTTGGAGATACAGAGTCGGAGCTTATACAAAGATGACAGTAAGCCATACATCGTCTTAGTATGGTTCAAGTAATGGATAAGTCAGAATATCCTGGCGGGGTATTTAACCTCGCGATGGGCGATCCTTATAGCCAAGCTTATAGAGAGGTAACTATAAAGTACTAAGAACATTGCTTTAGCTGTTAACTATTATTGATCCTCGGTATTAGATACTTCTAGTTACTTTCTAGCCTGCGGCAGGCGGACATGATTCCCGCCACTAGGCACTAGCAGCTGATGCCCCGCTGTTTCCCAAATCAAATAAAGGAGGGGTCAGTTGCCAGTTAGTTCAGCACGTGCAGGAGCTTCAGGAGCAACGAAGCTCGCCGGATTTTGTTCCTTCCTTTACATTCTTAAACCTGCAACTTTCAATTCACTTCTTCAATCCCATCAATCTCCACGTTGTTATTCCCTGTCACCTTTTCAGCAAAGCACTAATATACCCATTGAAAAATGCCTCGAACTGCTATATTCGTTATCGACATTCAGAACCATATCGCTGTTGATCCTACCTCTCGCGTCCCCCAGGCGGATCGCGTCATCAAAGCCTCTGAAGAGATCTTACAGACGGCTCGGTCCATCAAAGACTCCAATGAAAAGAGCAACAGTCCACTCATCGTATTCATTCAGCACGAAGAGTCCGCGAATGACGGAGCCCTTGTAAAGGGGACTGAGCCCTGGGGGCTCGTCTTTCACCCCCGCGCGGATGTGGAGGGCGAGATTTTGGTTGCAAAGAGGACAGGTACAGTACCAATCATGCTCGATGCCAATGGACATGGCTTAACGCATCTTTACATTCTACAGGGGACACATTCAAATCCAACCGCGACCTCGCGCAGAGGCTGCGCGACGCCAACGTCACCGAAATCGTCGCGTTTGGTCTGCAGAGCGATAAATGCGTTGAAGCAACATGTACCGGAGCACTGGCAGCTGGCTTCCACGTAACTGTGTTGGCTGGCGCACATTCTACCTACGATGCTGATGGGAAGACCGCCCAAGAAATCGAGCGTGAAGTTGAACTTCGCCTCTCGACACGAGGCGCTCGCGTTGTGCGGTGGGAGAAATGGGTGGAAAAGCAACAGATTGCCTGATTCTCACTCTTGTTGCTTCCGGTTTAGTTCATTCTTGTACATGTTAGAATTGCCAGGAACTTTGCCTGAAATGCGGGCTTCGTCGAGATACACCATAATTGACATTATCATGACCGTTTCCTTTCCTGCACATCGAGCTCAGAACAGAACACGTACGCCACAGTGGCAGCCAAGCTGAACAGGCCAAGTTGGAAGATCGGAGTATAGTTGCGCTTGGCGGGACTAGAATGAAGCATGTTGGAGGGGCAAGTAGGGTCTGGGCTCGGGATGCATGTCTGGGCGGGGAGACGCTATAGGCTCGCCCCACTTGCGCCCAGCTGATGTTCACCGATAGTCCAAAATAGTGTAGACCTGCGATCAGCCGATCCATCGGCAAACGGACATCGCAGTAACCGGCATGGGGTGGTCACATCACCTGACGGCTGAGTACAAAGGACGATCAGGAAGATCAGGAAAATCAGGCAACGGTCTTATCCTAAGGCATCTATTCCTCCACAGGTCATTTCTATCCCGAAACCACTACTCACTGAGTACAGAGCCTCGACTATTTCGCCGCTACGTAAGTAGCAGTAAGATACGTATTCTTTTTTGTTTCGGTATACGCTAATGCTAGAACTAGATACGGTATTCCCAAACATATATGATATGAAATCAGTGAGCACTTCGAAGCCTACTTACTATCATTCTAATACATAAAACTATAGCATACGTAAGTAGGCAGGCCTGGAAATGCACAGACCCGAAGAACCTCCAAATGAAAGTCGCATATAACATAAACTGCTGCAAACAATTGTATAGATAACCCAAAGTGCTTGTTAACTTTGTCCGTAAACACTTTGCAATCATCACAAGGAGCTTTATTGACCAATATGGCTGCTTTTGTTAATGTAGCCGGTAGCGGTGGTGCCTCAGCCATCCTGATCAGGTCTCGATGTCTCCATCGTCGCGTATCTAGTATCTCCAGTTTGCATTCTAGCTCCTGTAATGATCGCGCCTGAGGACTATTGATCACCCGGTTCAGTATCGCTTCAACGGCCCTGAGATTTGCCTCCAGTTCCTGAATCTCATCGTCTTTTCTGACGAGTTCTTCCAATTTATACATGAGCTCGTACTTTAAGTCCTGCTTGGTTTTCCGGAGATGAGTCACTTCCCGCCCTATCTCGGTGCTTGAATAGAACCTTTCAAATTCATCTTCTGTCCTTTCATATTCTTCTCTTAGTTTTGGATCCGGCAAGAGATCGCGTGGAAGGAAAGCATGGCGATCAATGAAATATGCTATCAGTTGCTTTTCTGCGTGGTAGGCAATATCCTCATCATGGATATGGGAAGGAAATTGGTGACCCACTGTTTTGGCAATGTAAAGTACATCATCTGCCCAATGGCGACCCTCAACACTGAGGCGTTGCCCAGGAACTGTTGTCAATCGGCTGATAGCAGCAACAGACGGATATTTTCCGCCTCTTTCTAGTCGCGCCACTGTCTCTCCAAATCCTGATATTGGATGCTTGCCGGTTGGTTTGGGCTCTTCCATACTGGACGATGTGCGACTATAGGACTGAGACAACGATACAGTGGGTGGTTCTCCAAAAGCGGTCTTTGACATTCGTCTCTCTGCGCTAAGAAGGCGAACAATTTCCCGGCGATCAAGGGCCGCTCTGGGTGTGTCCTCAAAATAGTCATCAGTACGATCGTTTCTTTCCTCTTGAAGTTCGTCATGCTCCTGCGCAAAATAAACTGCCAGTCGATTTTTGACATACCGGATATTGGTGTCCGCGCCGTGTTGTAGGAGTACTTTTACATTGTTAACCCGCCCAAAGAGCGCTGCCTCCATTAGAGCGCTCCTTCCGCCATTATCAACAGCATTCACATCCGCTCCATGTTCGATGAGAATCGACAGCATCTCGGGGATACTCTCAGCTGCTGCGCGGATGAGGGTTGTTTTACCGTTGAAGGGGAACCGCCCTCGAACAAACAGCCAAGCCTCAGTAGATGTCTCCAAATATTCTTGAACCGCTCTAGTGTGTCCAGCACTACAGTCGCAAATTGACTGGGTAATCCTTTTCTGCTGGAATGGCTGGACGTCACATCCTAGGTCAAGCCGGAAATCTCCTAGGTCGACGGTGACTAGTTCCTTTGCATCTTCCAGGATATTCATAGGTATTTCTTCATCGTCTGCTGCGGCGGTAGTAGCCTTAGCTAGATCAGCTGCCAGCTGATCAATATCGCCCTCATTATCGCTTTCATTATCGCTGTCATCCGAAATACAGATATTGACGTATCAACCACGTTTCTTGTTGATTTCATAGGCTACCTCGCCTTTCTCATTCATGGGGAAGCAGCAAAAATATGTCTCGCTTGTTTCGCAATGAGATTTTCTGAGATCGTTTGCCTGCCAATCCAACGAGTTGACCCGATGGCGATGAACTGCTTCGCAAAATGGACATCGTACGTGGTAGCAGGTTGCGTTCCACCATATCACGTCAGCTTTAGGGAAACGTCTCTCCATTGTGAAAATAAGCTATTTTGTCGTAAACCGAGTCGACGAAGGTGTTTGGGGAGACAGCCTGTTGGATTGCACGAGAAGGGGTGGATTGGAGGGACCAAAGTCGTGGTTTGAGTGAAGATATGTCAATAGACCTGTCGCAAATGTCACAGAGACCTTCTATGTCAAGGATGCCTTGAAAGTAGTTAAGCGGGGAAATAGCAATTTCTCGTGACTAGAAGATATAATACATCACCACTGCGTGATTGTGTAAGATACTATATTACCATACGGTACAGAAAACCAGACAAAAAAATCCTGGATAAAGTTGGACTCCTTTATCTGTCCACACGTTGAAGCTGTGCGGAATCTCGTCCCTCCCAATAGTCAAACTGAGTCCTAGAAAGCATAGGGACTGTCTTCATCAATAACAAGAAGGCCAATTCCAACCACTTCGATGCTGCAATGAAGATAGACAATGAGTTCAGTGCGGCTCTGTTATGTTCACTTTGCTAACCTTCTGATGCAACTCTTTAGAACCGCTGTTCAACCAAAGTTTCTGGAGTAACCCTTGAGGCAACCGCGCAATAACAAGAGGACAGCCCTTCGAATCATGCATCATAGTTCGGGTTTCGTGTCTGAAATAAGCGGATGATATGTCCGTAAATGAATTCCGCCATGATGAGACGGAAGAAACGCATAATATGCGACATTGGGCCCAGAGACGGATGCCGGGACCTAGCCAACAACTGGGCATAAGCAGAATTCAACATAAGGACCTACTAATTGTCGGAGGTTTCTCGAAGAAATCGATACGAGGAAAACATTTGATTGGCATAGGCATTGCTTCATTGTCATGCTCTGGCATTTTATCCAAGAGTTGTTTACGATGTGGTAATTTGTTGCTATCACAATGCAGCCAATCTCTTGCGGCGTTTCTACCGGAGTTCAAGATGTATGCTTGTAGATTTCCCCCCTCCAAGACCCTCACTGATTGCAAGCAAGGCAAAGAAGATACTAACAGGAGAGCAGAGTTACCCAGCTAGTGACCAGTCTTTCCTCAGTGTAGACAATAATGGCCGAGAGTGAGGGAATAGAATGCTCAGGGGTAAGCGGCATGGTCCGGGTACATGCATGACTGTCTATCAGACGTTGCAAGTGACTAATTCTCTGTTCAAGAAGAGCTACTCGTCACTTTTACTAAAGACTGGTCTGGAAATCGTGACTCTGGGGGTGGAGTCTATACGAGACACTGAAATTATGGGGGATCAAATCCGTGGGGAATCACCAGGCCATGCAGCCAATTGATTGTCATAACCTGGCACCGGTGATGGCAAATATCCCTCATCAAGATAGATACTGTGCCCAGACCAAGCACAGGATGTTGTTGAGGCCTTGGGAGCTCCTCTCCGGAAGACTTCTTATCCGGCCTGCGAATCACAACATCACAACACTGACGGGGTCCAAGCCCAGCAACTTCCCCCGCCTTTTTCCCCACAAACTCCCAATCTCCGCGTCTCCACAAAAACACGTTGGAAAGCTGGGGATATGTCATGCACGGTGGGTAGTTAGAACTGCCTAATTGACCATCTAAGTGATTAGGCACTGCTGGCATTTCATGCGTGCAGCCAGAGAAAGCTACCTCTCCAAGTAATGTGGATTAGGACGTCACCCGGAAAATAAGGGTGCTATGACCTCGGCCCTTCATTTCGGCTGTGGGGAGCTTCACGAACATCACTACGCTGTCCTTGATAGCTAGCTGTGAGCCAATGATTGCGCTTCTGTCGAAAGCTTCGCATCACTTGAGAGCGGATGACGCGGGCGGGTGGCAGCATACGACATGATGGTTGGCCAGCGTGCATCTTATTGTGCCTTGAATAGAGCTCTCGAGAAAAGCTTGTTCGGCCGATTTTTGGTTCATACGTATACGCCGGGGAACTACTTTGATAATGCTGGCCTGAAACGATGATAATTCATTCGATCATCGTCGCTGACGTGACGACCTATCATATGTGTCTACCCTTCCAAAGCCGTCCGTTGGGTGCCAAATCAACAAACACCAGCACCTAGATCGCTCGACGGACACTTTTCTGAGAGAGATAACGGGGCGGTCGGAAACGATCATAAACCGCAGGGGAAAGTTCTCTGCTCGGTCATGTACACCCTTTGTGGGCATGTACTCCGGCAACCCCTCGCAGCAGTGTGGAAATGTGCGGGGATCTAGTCTGCCGGGCATCGGGACTCAAGAGGACCGGTCGAGTCACAGAACCACAAGCGGTATCATGGAAGATGATCCCCATAATTTCCCCACAAACTCAATCAATTCAACGGCACATCCGGATGACCGATGACGACGTTTTGTTTGCAACTCCCGTGGCAGGAAGACTGCTAGACTCATTAGGTTTCGGGATCTGCGATATAAAAGAGGGACGCATGTATCCTTCTGTGGGTCAAGCAGACAGACCCAGTTCTCATTTTTCTTTCCATCTCTCGCTGGCAGATTCTGGCTACTGTTGACAGGATGCGCTCACCCGCTTGGGCTTCCATAGCCATCACAGCCTTTGCGGCATTGGCAAATGCTGGAACTCCTTCCACGTTGGCGGAGCTTTGCACTGATTCCATTGTGAAGGCAGCTCTACCACCCTCTGAATTCATCCAAGGCATAACAATTGACTCGGACTCTGTGACGACCGAAGTCGTAACGAACAGCAGTTTCTCCAGCGAATTCTACCCAAGCGCCACGATTGACTATTGCAACGTCACATTTGCCTACTCCCACGATGGCATTGACGGCGACCAAGTCCTTTTGGAAATCTGGCTCCCCGCACCAACAAATTTCAAGAACCGCTGGCTCTCCACTGGCGGAGGTGGTTATGCCATCAATTCCGGAGACCAATCGTTGCCAGGTGGTGTCATGTATGGGGCCGCGTCAGGTATGACAGATGGCGGTTTTGGGGGATTCTCAAACAATGCGGACACGGCTATGCTGTTGGCGAATGGCACACTCAACTACGAGACGCTTTACATGTTTGCATACAAGGCGCATCGGGAGCTTAGCTTGCTTGGAAAGGCCCTGACCCGCAATGTTTACGGGATGAGCGACAGCGATAAGCTGTATGCGTATTATCAAGGCTGCTCTGAAGGAGGCCGCGAAGGTTGGAGTCAAGTGCAGCGATTCGGTGATGAATGGGATGGAGCCATCATTGGTGCTCCAGCATTCCGCTGGTCCTTCCAACAGACTCAACATCTCTATTCCAACATCGTCGAGAAGACACTGGATTACTACCCACCCCCCTGTGAGCTGGACAAGATCGTCAACGAGACCATCGCTGCCTGTGATGCCATGGACGGAAAGGTAGATTGGGTGGTTGCACGGACCGATCTCTGCTTGCTCGACTTTGACATTAGTACAATCGAGGGTAAGCCCTACTCATGCGCTGCATCCAGGGGCACCCCTGCACAGAATGGCACGGTCTCCGCCAAGGGTATTGAAGTCGCGAAAACCATCATCAATGGATTGCATGACTCCCAAGGTCGCCGTGTCTACTTTTCCTACCAGCCTACAGCCGCCTTCGATGATGCCGAGACGCAGTACAACTCCACAACAGGCCAATGGGGGCTCGATATCGATCAGCTTGGAGGCGAATACATTGCTCTCTTGGTAGACAAGAATGGCACTACACTGGACAGCCTGGATGGAATTACCTATGACACGCTTAAGGACTGGATGATATCCGGCTTGCAGGAATACTACAGCACCTTGCAGACCACATGGCCGGACCTCACGCCCTTCCACAATGCTGGAGGTAAAGTCATCCATTTCCATGGTGATGCCGACTTTAGTATTCCCACCGCCGCATCCATCCGCTATTGGGAATCAGTCCGCAGCATCATGTACCCCAATCAGGACTATAACTCCAGTGCTGAGGCGCTCAATGAGTGGTATCGCCTGTACACTGTTCCAGGAGCGGGTCATTGTGCGACCAACGATGCTATGCCCAACGGCCCCTTCCCACAGACGAACATGGCTGTGATGATTGACTGGGTGGAGAACGGAGTAGTGCCTACAACGCTGAATGCGACCGTGCTCCAGGGAGAGAATGAAGGACAGAACCAGCAGCTCTGTGCTTGGCCACTGCGACCCTTGTGGACCAACAATGGCACCACCATGGAGTGCGTGTATAACCAGCGTTCAATTGACAGCTGGCATTATGACTTGGATGCGGTTCCCATGCCTGTGTACTAGGGGCTGTTTATTCGAAGGAGGCCAGCTTGATTTGTACATAAGATCGTCTGTCAATATAGCCGGACAGAGTGGACGCTACTTTTCGTTTCCCAAATACATATCTGAAGACTTGGTCCTTTCCTCTCTCGTTGTTTCATTTGTCAAAGTCCGGGGTATGTAAACAGTGTAGCCAACAACCTTTGGCCGGGACTCCAAGTACTTTCTACCTGCGGGAAGTAATAGTTTCTATCTCGGGGGGTATATGTGTCGAGTACTTACCATACCCATCTTTATCCTCATATTAAAAGCATGACAGACCAGTCGCATATCAAATTACACCCGGCTCATGCTAGATCACAAAGCAGAGACCCGATCATACTATAATACTGCGCTATACTGAAGAAAAGGAGATTCATATAAAGTCATTGGTAGTATGAAATATATGGAAACTGGAAATACGGGTCACCCCCCATCCAATAATGATCCATCAACTTGAACCCCCCAGGTACTGCCCTCTGAAACATCCCACTCGGATCATACTTCCGACTAACCTCCTGAAGCCGTTGATTATTTCGAGGCCCGTAAGATCCAATGGGATCTTGAAAGTCAGATGAATAATTCATCATTTTAAAACGAGACCCCGTACCTCGCGAAACAGCCTCGTCCTCAATCCTCCCTAGCAACAACTTCATCGAATCCAATACCACGCCATCTTGCTCCTTATTATCCCAATACGCCAACAACAATATTCCTATCAATGGCCCATCTCCCCGATGCAACCCCAAGACATTTCCTCCCAATTCCTTCGACTTCCTCATCAACGACACAGGATACGGCTGGAACGACATCGACAGCCGCAGTCCCTTCGTGAACCTCACCGGATCCACCACCTCAAAGAACTCACGAAATATCTTCAACAGTGTGTCTTCATCTGCCTTCACTGTCGTGTTCATATACGCACACCTTGTCTGCCTCCGATCCCTCTTATTCACATCTGGTTTCTGACTCCAACTCTCCATCTCCACACCTGGACCCAGACTCTGACGCTGCTGCACAGACGCCACAGCCTCTGGAACCGACACCATCCCCACGCTCCGCAACTCCTGCACCTCATACGACATTTCCATGAACGGTCGGAGAGCTTTTGGGACTGCCCTAGCACGAGTATAGTACAACTTATTCTCACACAAGTACCCCCATTCACGTTGATACACTATAGTCACTCGCAGATACATATCACTCATATACTACGACGTTTGTAGGACCTTCATCAGCGCTTTGATCTGAAGTGGGAACCCGCAGCACTCATACCACAGGCTCCCTCCAAATAAAGAGCCCTGAGGAAACGTCCGCATATCATACCGAGTGACGATTCCAAAGTTGTTGCCTCCACCGCGCAGAGCCTCCCAGAGATCGGAATTGGTTTTCGGATTGGCATTCACAATTGTCCCGTTGGCAAGCACAACTTGGAAATTGACGACGTTGTCGCAGACGAAGCCTTCGCGGGATGAGAAGAGTGATAATCCACCTGGTCAGAGTTAGTCGCTACCATCATTCATGAAGGAAAGGAAAAAGTGGAGAGAAGAAAGACATACCACCTAACGTGACACCCCCAATCCCACTTTCCGTCGAAAGCGGTCCCGCAACCGCTAACCCATGGCCCGCTAGGAAATCATATACATTTCCCCATCGCTCCCCGGCCTTGATCCTTACAATTCCATCCCGAAGCTCAATTCCCTGGAGCAGTTTCAGATCGACCGTGATCCCGTTATCGAGATTTGCACATGCATGTGTAGTCTGTTGACCTCCACTCCGGACAGCGAACCTGATTTCCTCTCGATCAGTGAAAGGCTTGACGATGCTCAGGAAGCGCGACACGTCTGTGGTATTTCGCGGACAGAAGATGCATCCTGGTTCAAATTCGCTTTCTGTAGCTGAGCTGTGGGAGTCGTTGAGGTTCTTGTAGGCAGATTGGCCGGGGGCAAGGACAAACCTTTCAGAGAATATGTCCTCAAGGGCTGATTTCAAGAGAAACACTGTCATTTTTCCTGTCCTTGATTGATTGGATTGGATGATAGGGTTGTTAGATGGGGGAGGGTGGATGCTAATGGTCTCATGCATCGGCTTGCTGCTGTGTAACATCCATTTCTGGGAGTTGAATGGGACTGTGGCTGGCTATATATTCAGCTACCAGTTTAAGGGACGATCTTGCGTATACTACGGATGGAAGAAGCCTTGAATTGTTAGGGTATCCCCTACCATCCGTGAAACTTGAACACTTGAAATTAATTGAATAGTGATCAGATGCGAAGTACAACTCAGAGCGTAAATCTTGTGTTGTACGCAGCGCATACTGTTGAGTATCTCCTGGGAACGGCCCGATTACCAAGACAAAGACGTGGCCGTCAAGGCCTATATATTACCCAACGCGAAAAAGCATACTATGTCGAGTGAGTCATTTAACTTACAATGCGCCGAATACTTTGGACTCTTTATATACTGTATTCCTTTATCTCCGCTAATTGTAACGCTAATTTCCGCCCCTTGCTATGCCCTGCAGATATAACGGATCTAGCCGTCCCTCACCATTCATTGTGCGCTTTGTTGCCAAATAGAGCTCAAACCTTGGAAAAGTATTACATAGATCGACAATGTAGCGGCGAGATAGTAAGAACAGCAGCCACCATGTCTCGAATTGGGGTGATAGTTCCCGATCCAGTGATAAAGACAGCGGTTCGATTACTACTTTGGCTGGGATTCAGGTAGTACAGCCGAACATATAAGCCCAATCCAACATGATACGGGGATTGCGAAATCTATCGCAACCATTGTCTCATATCAGAGACTCGATTGATATCGTAGGGTCCGTATGAGTGTAGAAAAGCGAATAGACCTGGCGTCGTCTACCCACGCTGTGATACTTGATCCAATCGTCCTTTGAAATAAATGTCAGTGGACAAGGATAAATATTGAGACCATTTAAATTCGGATTCGCCCGCATTTACTTGACCCGGAAGTCCTGAATCGCAGTCAAGTAACTTATCGGGGAAAGGATCGGCCTGGTTAGTCGCTTTTTTGGGCCTTATCCCAGTACACACATTTGCTTGTACATCAAGCAACATCTGGTTAGCAGTATTAACTGTCCGCTCTAAATGGTCAGGGTGAGGGCGACGGAAAATGACTGGACGTACTGGCAGTGCTGCTGTAGGCTTAAACCTACCGAGATAACTAAATCATGATCGAGGATCATATGCTTGTCCCGGTTATTGTTAGAAGCATTGACCGTTTCATGTCTTTCCTTGAGATCGAGATCGGAATAAAGAATCATACAGTCAAACCCTGCATAGCTACGGGTCGCATACCCATAAACTTTCTCAGCTGTAGTGAGCGGAAGGTAAAAGTCTTGTTGACGCTAGCAATTAAACCGCGAGGTAGGGTTCCCCAAGCAGTACATTTCTTTAAGAGTCACGGCGTCATGTTGTCCTACCAATTAAAAGATGGGCATTACTGCATTGCCGAAGTGCACCCAATCACCCATTCAACCACGTACGAACACCAAACTAAACGAAGCGACTAAAATTATACAAGTTAGCCAACTCGTACTCCCACACTACTCCCACAGTACCGTACATACCTGAACAAAGCACCCCAAATACGGGCGAAGAAGGAGGGAGCAGCAGCAGCAGGCTGCGCACTCTCACCACCCCTGCGGCCGGATCCCCGGGGCTGGCGGACCGCGCGCCGGAAGGCCGACACCGCCACGTCGCACCTAACATATCCAATATAAGGGGATCACTTACCGACGCGCAGGGGCGGCGATGGGCCGAACAACGACCACATTTGGTGCGCCCAGCGGGGACCACACAGCGAAGACGGCCGTCGGGGCAGGACCCTGCAAAAACGAGGCACCGGCGGCACCAGAGGCGCGCGGGAGGAGGGGGGACGATGATGGCGACGGCGACAGCTGCGACAGGCGAGGCAGTAACACACCTGGCCACGCACGACAGAGTTAGATAAATCATATGCCATTCGTGCTGGAGGCTAAATAGTGTAAGGTTGTTCCTCAAGTATGGAGCTGTTATACCAAAGCATGAGTATATTTTCTGACGATAAGGTATCTTAGAAACGAGTACTCTCAACGATAATAGATGAGGGCATGTACACAAGTACCTAAGTCTTCGGATTCGCCTAAGCCACCGGGTACCCTGTCACTTTTCGGTATTATTTAATGTATTCTTGACTCTCGACAGCATAATTCTTTGTCGAAGGATATAGTACCACCTTATGGTGTTGTGCAAAGCGTGCCGCAGAGCCAAGTTTTGATGCAGTTTTATGATATTTCTGTATATGCTCGGAGTGTATACATGATGCAAATATTTGTCCGGGTGCGGTAGGTAGATCTAGGATGCGGTCGGGTACAGCTAGAGCCATGGTCCTGCGGATCATTAGACGCTCTGGCAGGTGTCGCATGAGGGTTGCATTCTGAGTATTATAAACATTCTGTGACAAGATCTAGTAACAGAAAGAGTTGGATGGGAGGATAAGAATCTCGACGTCGACATGTGTTAGCTATAAACATCGAAGATGTGCGTCCATAATTGTGTATGTGAGACCACAGGATGGTGAGGTGTGTAGTTGTTGTCTGGCTCGTTTATTTTGTATCATTGAAATTAACGATAAGCCCGTTATATTTATAATGATCGTTCTCGTGACTGAAGAAAAAGTAGAGGAAGCTATTCTTTTAAAGCAGAGTGTAACAGGGCCTGCAATGCTATTGCCAGTCTGCGTTGACTCGCAGGCATCTTCCATTGCCCAAATAGGTTGTCTTGTAGAAAATGGTCACTAGTATGCCATGTAGGCTAAGAAGTCAATGTCAAGATAAACACTATTGAAGAAGGGAGCGCGCGCATAGGTAAGGAAGATGGGGTTGGAAGGCCATTTATATAGTTTTTCGTCCCCCAGGAGAAGCCCTTCACATGAAAGCAGCATTCCCCTTGCTAGCCTGGATACTTTTTCGTTCACCATTCCAATACCTCTGTGAAGCCGGGGAAAGGGGAATCACCCTACGGTCCTACGATGCGTTGACTGGTATGCAATGGTGAATCTTTAAGCTGATGAATAGTTGAAGTGAAACCGGTAGTGTATTGACTTCTACAATCAAGCTCAGGGAAATCTAGGTTTGAGCTTGAAACCGACATATATTGCTGCCTGAGGCAACTATGAACTGCGCCCGAAAGGGGTCAGTAAGCTGGGAAATCACCAGACACGCATTCTCTACGACATGCTGTTTTTATGCTAGCTTGAGATTTGTAATTGCCTGATGGGAGCTGATCATCATCGTCGGGTCTGATGGTACAAGTGCCATTGGCCCATTGAGCGTCTTGCTGCAACGGCAGGTCGTAATAGGTTGCCTTACAGATGGGTTCGGGCCGGCGATAGTTACTCGCGGTGTTTCCCCTATTTCCTTGCGAACCTAGGGTAACAGTCTGTGGATAGTAGTATTGTCCCTCTCAGCTGGGTTGTCAAGACCAGTCCCTGCAGATTGTAACATAATAAGCAACGATGGGGGGCCTGATTTAAATAAGCATGATCCCTGCATAAGGGTGCTCGCAGTTGCAGATGGTAGCACATAAACACCACTTTCATTGGCTCTTTGGGTATTTGTCAATGCTACTACGCTTATAGGGCTGGAATTGCTGACGGCAGGGACTAGACAGGCGCCTGACTTTGGTGCACGAGGCTGTAGTGACTGCTGAGTGGTACCACGGTCATGGTCACCAACTTGAGATTTCAAATGAATGATGTTTTTTCGAACGTGATAAATCTGGAAGGGGAAGGTTGTATACTAATCACTTAAGCCATCTGCCCATATAGTGTTGAACCATCAAGCATGGGAACTTCTCTCCAGTGTGCGTTTAAAGACATTAAATGTCTTACTAGGTTACACTACAAAAAGAAATTATCCTCGTATTTCAAGTAGACCCTGCATGATGGTCTGATGGGGTAAGAATGTTCCCCTGTCCAGACACATTTAATAGGCGCTTAGAAAGAGTATCAGGCGTCCAACTAGGCGTGCTACAATGTATCGATTGACCCTTCTGTTTCAGTTACTTTATCAATATGGAAACATACGGATTGGTGAGACCTTAGTCGAAGAGCTTTGGTGTATAAGAATGAGGACGAATCCCTCCCTATCCTGAGTCTTCATCCCATTCTTCATCTGGCTCTAGCTTTGAATATAATTCTACAAGGCCCAATTTTCTTCAAACTCATACATCATCGTCATCATGGTCAAGACCGCCCTTCTCCCTCTCGCTCTCCTTGCTGCACTGGCTCCCTTTGCCGCCGCAAGGAACTGCAAGACTGGGCTTAATTATTGTGGATGGAACCTCCTTAACATTGGTATGTTAACTTGCCTCCTCTATCCAGACTTCACGTTTCTAATAATATCCTTTTGATAGGCAAGTACGGGGCCCAGGTCAATGGCGCCCTCGATGCTGCCCACCAGCCGACCGACGATGCCCATATTCGTGAATCCCTCTTCCACTGCAACGGTGGCGATAATGGCGATATCTCTTTCATCACATACTGTGGTGGTGGCTGCAAGGATGGCGGCAAGGACCGCAGCGACTACTGCTAGAGATTTGGCTGCGGATTGGTATCAACTTCTAACTAGTGGTGCGATATGGATGCGGCCATTGTACTTTACTCCCTTCATTCCCTTCATCGTATCCAACATACGGTATAGTGGAGTCTTAGTCTAGAAAGGAAATGCAACTTATAGGGGCTGAGCTTGGTTGCCTCCTAACATAGATAAAATATACCATGCATGATAGGAAGATAGGTCCCCATATTACAAAGGAAACAGGGTTCATTTGAAGAAGTCGATATATTTCAGTTGGAACAATTACTGGATGTTCATCACGGAAAATGTTAGGGTCGCGACAAGCAATGCAAGTCGGTCAGCTACATGATACAATGGATAGCGGATCGTGTTCTTCGATTTTGAGCTCAATCACATTCTTTCGAAAATATCTTACGATGGGCCTATTTACAACAATCAAGAACCGATAACAGCCAAAGTTCGGCGTTGTCAACAAATAATATGCCGGGACCTGAAGACTCTGCCCCACCGGCCATGCCCTACTTGGTCCCCGACTTCGAATCGTTAACTTTAGCCTCCGCCTGTGCGCTTCTCCCCGGCTCACCCGACGGAAATATCTCCCCAATCTCACCAATTATTAGCCAAAAAGTCTCCTCCGCACCCACATTGACTCACGTCGGCAATTCTCCTGTTCTCCACTCTCCAAATTTAAGCAATTACCCCCCCAGTCGTATAAGTAGCTCGTATCCCACCGAGCCGATAATTCCCCATACAAAACTCATCCAATTCGGATAAAAATACCCTGAAAATGCCATTCACGATCCGCTATGCCACAGAGCAAGATGCTCCCCACCTTGCCAACATCAATGTAGTCAGTTTCAACCACCAGGCACTATGGTCCGCGTTGTTCCCAAACGTCGACGTGCCCGGAACTTTGCCACTCAAAACAGCCCGTTGTCTAGACAAGCTCCGATCGCCGCAAGTGCATGTTGTGGTAGCCGTTGATGATTATTCGGGCCAAGTTATTGGGTACTCTCGATGGTGGTTTCCGAAGGATTACGAAACGAGCGTTGTCGAATTGTCCTCCGAGGGCTTAGATGCACTAACGGCTCATGACAATGGGAAAGCGTACCCAGAAGGTCTCAATATGGAGGCTTATCAAGCATTCAAGGACCTCTTGGCTGATTTGCAGCGGGCACATTTAGAGGAGGGCGATATCAGTATGTTGAATACTCGCTCTTATATTTCTCATTGCGGTACTTGAAAGATTGGCTGTATCCATGTACTGACTACAGCAGTGTTGGAATTCCTCGCTACTTTGCCGGAAGCTCAAGGTAATGGAGTTGGGACGGCATTGTTGAAATGGGGTATTGAGCGTGCTGATGCGAGGAATGCTCGAGTGTATTTGGAGGCTACAAAGGATGGGTATCCGCTTTATTGGAAGCATGGGTGGCGGGATCTGCAAGTGGCAGGGTTGGAGTTCACGAAGTATGGGGGCACAGGGTCGCAGGAATGGGTTGCTATGCGGAGGGACAGGAGGAAGCCTGTTGCTGGATGAGATTATTTCGTTCAAGCTTGTTCTTTGTTCTGTTTAGACTATCGATGACGAAGGTTACTCAAGTAATAGATCTCAGGCATTGGAGATACGTTAATGGATGATCATTCAATATATGGAACTACTATAAGAGATGGCCTCAACTCAACACCTATCGTATACGTATACTGGTCACAGGTTCTGGAATTCTCACTAGAAAACCTCGTGCGGAGGACTGAGGAAGCCTATCAATTTGTAAGGTACCGAAAGCAGGTGCGGTGCTTCTTTGGCATAATACCTAGGGCCTCCGAGTTTTAAACAGCCTGCGGTAAATCGATATATGAGTATGAGAGGAGAGAGGAGAAAAGACCAGTATGAGTACAACTTCGACTTCGGCCCCAATATACTCGGAAACTGGTAATAGAAATCATATGGTGAATTTCAATTTTTTAGACCTCGCATGTTACAGCCATTTACTAATATACTGCATGGCAATTCTCTAGTTTGATTTCACTTCATCATCTTCAGTCCCAGGGGGTAAATATTCACCATGGAAAAAGGCTTCAATCAGAACATTAACCACCCGCCTTCCTCAACTCGAGCCATTCCCTGTCTCTTGGTCTTTCTTCCTATAAATACCCTCTGCTTTTGTCTCTCATCTTCCCCTTTCGCTATCCACTCATAAATTATCTTATTCTGACTATGAGTATACTAGAGGTAATTCTTTCCTGGTTAGGTGTCTTTGCAATTCTATCGCCTTCAGTGGTCGAAGGAGACGTATAGTCTGTGTCTACTACCAGACAATTTTCTGTATGGTATTCAATAATACTCTTTTATGTCATCTTGAGAAACCATTATTACAAGCTGAAGCGCAAACCATGTCATCTTGCTGCAGCTATATCTCGGTTTGGTAGTATGCGCTCCTCCTCATCCTGGCCTCGTGATCTTAGCGGAATTTTCGGCACCTTGGTTATTGATGAGGCACATACCTTGCGAAACCGCAACACAGCTCAGTGGACTGCAGCCCATGCAATCAACGCGAAATTCACGATTCTAGCGACCGCGACCCCTATCTTCAACAGTGTCAAGGATTTTGGCGCGCTGTACCCGTTACTTATCTCGTCAAGCAATGAATCTACGTGGTATCATGTTGATCCAAAGCTAAACCCCTTTATAAGCCAATTTATCTATATAAGGATGTATCGATGCCGGAAAACAGACTGTACTTTATTCGGCATATGCTTTATTAAGTATCTAGCACTCATTCCTCTCTCAATAAAATACGAGGAATTTGTTAGTGATGGTAAGTCTTCTAAGAGCGTATAGTTTGCATATACTGATGGAAGAACAGTCATTCCTGCTTTATATGGCATGATCGGAAGTCGAACACAGATGTATGCTGCAGTATCCTGCCCAACCGTTGTGCAGAGACCTGTCCATAGGGAGGAGAACTGAAGTCTCCCTCTCATGACATCTCTTGAACTATGCTATAGGGCGCTTCTTATATTCTTAAAGCAATGCTAACATATCACAGCTACGCCGGCTTATCCGACAAGCCATCTTGGGCCCCGTATGTCACTCAATCAGAATATGTTCTGCATATGCTAAAAAAATACTAGTCGACCCTAAGGAACCAATCACCACGGAATTGAACGAATGTCAGTTCTATCTGCACACATACTGAGCATATACTGATTAAGATAGCACCACCAAGCCCAGCAGAGCGCCTGTCCGGCGTGAACGGACTAGTGTAAGTGATTATCCCAGCACATGTTAAACATATACTAACAAATGATAGATGTGATATCACTGTGAATGGAACCCAGATGTGTGGCACATGCTGTGCATCTCAGATAGCCGTATGTGGATATACTCAGCATATACCAAGCCTATACTAATAATATATAGCTTCGAAGACACATTCGCCAGTCGCATCCCGGAGCAGGTATATGATTTCAGTCAGCATATATTCTGCATATGCTAATAATATACAGTGGAAAATCCCTCCAAAGCAAACACGGGGTTCGAAGAACGCGTCGCAGGGGAGAAGTAAGTTAGATCTATGCATCAGTTTAGCATATGCTGACAGATACAGTGCCCTAAAACTCTGGGTACTATCCCATGGATAGCAGCAAGCACGCTATCTTCATGAACCAAAGTATGTGTTTCACATATGCTGAGCTTATATTTGAGAGAGATATGTCTAACATATGCAGAAATAAGATTTCGCACGAGTCGCCCATCTGGCGCTATGCTGACGCGTGCGAAATGTTGGCGTGAGTTATTATACCTCGCATATACCCTGCATATACCAAGCTAAGAGAAAGCAGGTCTGCCGATAAGGGATTTAAAGACAAGTTTGGTGACACTTTTCACCGTGTAAGTACATTCTCCACATATACACTACATTACACTACATATGCTAATAACATTATAGAAAGTAGCTGCCTCCGTCCCCTTCACCCCAAAGGTAAGTCCCCTTCATATATGATACATACATATATCGACTCCTTCTACAGCATCGATGATGGTCTTCAATAACAATCAGTGCAGGCAATAGTCGAAAAGAGTGGGTCTAGACTTTCTAGTAGCAGCTCGAGTGTTCCATGCCCATAAGTGTACAGGGAAATCAGCATGCATTATAGATGCGAAGAAGGCATCTAGGAGTCCTACACATATCTCTACGGACAAAATCTGAAAGCTCTCATGGCTTCACGCACAATTGCTCTCGATAGCCATTTCGCATGAGGGCATAGTACAACAGTGGTTGTTAGAAAGGGTCAGATAAGATTGAGAAACCTAGTGCAGCATCGCGCAGAGAACTACCCTAACGTCTATCACGCACACATACGCACTCCCAGATACTCATCATTCCATTGGTCATCAATAAACCCCCTTGATAACTAACAACATGATGACCATAGAAAACCGGGATATTGGGTAATGGGGGCTGCTAAACGACATGCTAGAAAGAATACCTAGACAAAAGTATTACAAATATGGGGACATTGAAAGGATTCTGATAGGAAATGAAAAACTGCTTTTGCATGTCCACATTAGGAACATCATCAGACTGTGCATAGAGCGCACTAATTATCATATACTGCTGCATAGTACTAACTCGTGCATTTTTGATGGTCGTCGCAAGTGCGTTCGTTGTTCGAGGTCCCTCCCCTGGGTCGGGAAGGCGGATATTGTACGGCTCGAGTTGATAGAAGAGGCACGATTTGCCCTCAAGCCATTTCTGCTAACGCAATCCAGGGTATTGTTGGCATAAGGATAATAATGGTATTGAGGCTGTCTCAACTCAGACAACTGTCTATAAAATGATACTGTTCTGAGTTTAAACGATCAGGATGTCCACTTAATATCCTTCCCAGGATATCCCGATGTATGTGACTCGTGCCGCACTTAGATCGTCAAGAAATAGAAACAAGCATAAAACAACCACAACTACCTACACTCAGATAGGAGTATTCGGCTTGCTCTAAGGGGTGTCTCTCGTGTAACTCATGATGGTCATAGGGGTGTCACCTGACTGCATTGTTTCTATGGCCGCCCCTCACCTTCTCTTCTTCCTCTTCGTCATCTTCATCTTATCCCCCAATCTTCCTATTCGCACCGAACTACGATGGTCTACAGATAATGTAAGGATCAACAATAAATGTCATTTCATGATGTTCCACTGTCAAAATCGCCATGCTGGACGCACAATCTCACCAAATGCTGTTAAATAGCTCCTCTGCGGTTCAGGTACAAGGCGTCCTCCACATTTAACCACATTCTTCTCAGTAACACCAGGGCCCACTGATTCATGGTGTGTCGGCCACATTATACACCAGCTTCTGTCCACTGACCTTGCCATCCTTCATATCCTGCAGACCCTCCAATACCCCCTGAAGCCCCCGTGGCCCCAGCTTGACAGGATGAGGCTTAACCTTTCCCTCTGCAAGGAAAGTAGCTGCCTTGCTCATGAATTGTCCCGCAAACTCTCGATCCTCCGGCTTGGCAGGAATGATGCCACCACCAAAATCAAAATCCTCACCAAAAGCAGTGTATCCTATGGTGAAAAGACTGCGGACGTCATCACGGGGAACTTCCACCTTCAGCAAGGCAGAATAATCTCCACCCTTGCTAGAGATCACTTCGCCACAGAACTTAGCGCTAGACTCAACAGCAACAGTGTCGAATACCAGCTTCAGATTGTCCTGTGCGTAATCCTTGATGGCTTGGACTGCATTCGCATCTTTATAGTCGAACACTGCATCTGCACCCAGACTCTTTACAAGATCGAAGTTCTGGGCGGAACAGGTCGTTAACACAGTGTACCCAGACAACTTGGCATACTGAATGGCCAGGGTACCGGTGGCGGTGGAGCCACCGTAGATGAGAATCAGCTCAGGCTGTGCTAGTGGGGCGTCTGGTGGTGCGAGCTTCAGACTCTGATACAGGCCTTGGCCCACGGTAATTGTCCCCAAGCCGAGGGTTGAAGCTTCTTCAAAGCTGAGACGGTCGGGGATGGCGATCTGAAGGTCGGCTTTCGGGATGCAGTATTCGGCAAAGGCGCCACTCTCCGGGTTGTTGGAATTGCAACCTTGGACCCAACCGCAAACACGGTCGCCCTTGCGAAAGGCTTTCTTGACGCCCTTGCCGACCTCTTCGACGACACCGGAGTAATCATTCCCAATGACTTGTCCTGGAGGTTTCCGGTCGGCACTTTTCCAGTCGGTAGGGTTCAGAGCAACACTAGCTGTTTTGACAAGAAGGCAGTCGTCGGGCACAGTAGGGATCGGACGTTCCACCACGTCGCGACTGCCGGGTGCAGTGATCACGAGGGCTTTCTGCATGATGAGATGAGATACGGAGTTATGGTGTGTTGCGAGGAAGCAGGTGAGATTTACAGACAAAGGCAAGCGGGGGTCAGAGAGGGGGTTAATATATGTTACATGACTGCTGATTATAACGTCACAGCTTCTTTGCCAGACTAGTTATGTCCTTGTTATCTCCGCTCTTACACTGAATGGATGACAGCTAAGCATTGTATTATTAATCGGTGCCATTAATAATCCACGATGCTACGGCCTTCTAAGGCTGGCTTACTGCGATGTGATTCGACACCGGGACTCGCTAACCAGTGCCGGTCCCGAAATGGATCCGTTCAGTAGTTTTAGCTTCTCTCCAACCGATCCATGTTCTCTAACATTCAACTATCTACCTCTGTTCCATTCTTCTGCAACTCACTGCTATTAATGTCGGCCCGGCCCAATGACATCCCTCGCGTGGCCAACTTTGTCTCTGCCCAACCCAGCCCGACCGACACCCCGTCCGCACCTCCGCCAGCGGGAATGACACCGCCTCCCCGAGAGCGGGTCCCACGGGCCTGTGAACACTGCCGGGCCCGCAAGATCAAGTGCAATGGCCAGCAGCCGTGCAATGCCTGCGCGCGCCATCCAGAACGATGTCTCTACCGGACAGGAAGTATCCGCCAGAGAAAGAACCGTCGCACCAAGGAAGCCCCGCGACCACCAGCTACCCTACTCCCTCTCCCAACCACCGAGTCGCCGACTACTCCAAGTGACTGGTCCCACACCAGTCTAAGCGATGGCCCGGCGCAGTATAAGCGACATCATGAGCTCCGCGCTGGCATTGGCGTACAGAACCCAGAGACAGGGGCATTCCAGTTCTATGGTAATTCTCATACCCTTTATCTGTTTGACGGACTCTGTTAACCCACGAAGGACCCTCCTCCGGCTTCTGCTTCATTCATCGGGTCTACCAACGCATTAAGCAAGGCTCATCTAGTGAGCCACTGCTTGCTCGTCGTAGCTGCTCCATTCCAGATGCCATCCACCGATTTGGTTTGGAGCGCTTCATGTTTGCCCGGCCAGGGGACTCGGATCCGCGGCGGACTCATTTTCCGTCTCAGATGTTCCTCCCAAGGGAGTTGGGTGACCAGTTCATTGAGGCCTATTTCCGCATCATGCACCCGCAAATACCCATATTAATTATGTCTGAGATTGTCGATGCTTGGAACCAAATGTGGGAAACTCCTGTTCGAGATCACAGCGTCAAAAATCAGGATATCCTATTTATGGTGCTGGCTATCGGCGCTCGGGTCGCCAACCTGAGGGGGAGGCAATCTGAAAGCAGTGTCGCGGCCTGGGCCGATTACTTCTCCAGTCGAGTATCTGAAGGGCCCATCTTCCTACAAGAACCGAGCATCCGGGGTGTACACTTAATGCTGTTGAAGGTACGTCACCAACATCTGCCAAGGAAGCTCGCTAACCCAATACAAGTCAATGTACGCTTTGCAGCTGATGCGACAAAATGATGCTTATCTCTACCTGGGTCATGCCACCCGCACATGTCTTGTACTAGGTCTGCACCGGGCCCAGGTCACCGATGGTCGCGATCCCAACGTGCATCGGCTGCGTTTGACCTTCTGGACGACATTCTTCTGCGAACGCATATCTTCGCTGTATATGGGTCGTCCGTCGAGCCTTTCTGACCGACAAATCGACACAGCATACCCCGAAGACCTGCCGCAGAATCTTTATGACGATACTTGCGCGCCTATGCAAGAATGTGCGTTCATTCGAGCCATGGGCGAGATTTCCAAGCTGGCTGATCGCATCTCTATTGAGATATATTCGCCGGCCAGCATAAAAAACCCCACAGATCTGGACAAGCTCAGCCAAGTCAGCATTGAATGCGACCAAGCCCTCCAAGCTGTCACACCAACACTACCCAGTTACCTGCACTTCTTCGATGACACGGTCCCAATTGGTGAGCCGTGGCAGGAGATTCAACGCGTGAGCCTTGGATTCTGCTACTACGTCGTCCGGATGCTTCTCTCCCGCCCGGCACTGGTGCTCACCACCTTCTTCACCTCAGTACAAGAAGCCCAATCAGCCACTGGCTGCACCGAGCTCCAAGCCTATATCCATTCATCGACTTCTGCAGCCCGGAATTTGATTCACCTGGCTCATGACGTCTATTTCCGTCGCTTTCCAGAGATCCGCTATGATGGGGCTTTGGCCTCATTTCTTGTATCTGCAACGTTGACTCTTTTATATGATGTGCTTAACTTAGGAACAGATCCGGACCGAGCCAGGCAGACCTTCACGGTCGTTGAGAAAGCGATAAAGTGTCTGGATGAGATAGAACATACAGGGTATACGTCAGGCAAGGCGTTGAGCTTGGACCTGATGAGAGTGGCTAAGCAAGCTGTGCAAGCGTCCGATCCCGTGGTGGACACAAATCAGGTCTTGATGGATGCGTTCCCGTGGTTAGAGTATGTTTTTACCCTCTGTTATTGGACTGTGCTGACTGAGCAGTAACTGGGCATCTGCCCCGGTCGGGGAGAATCCCGATCTGTCAATGTATACGTTTCCCCCGGCGGACGTGGCGGTCATTGGCTCTTTGGCGGGGAATGAAGTCGGTTGGACCGAGACGGACGGCAACCATCTCTGGTTGGGCAATGGGTTCGAGCCGAATGCAATGCCGGGGTGTTTATTCTAGGCGCGAAGAGAGTAGATTGGCTAGACATCACATAATAGACTAATGGATTATTCCTGACGGCCGGCGGCTATTCTGGCATTGTCTGCCGGCCACGTCTCTCCAGCTGAAACACCCCAACGCACCTCAGCCTTAGGGTATTATCGCTCCAATGCGATGCCTGCCCTAACCGCCGTCCATCCTGGCCGTGGTCCGAGCGCTATTCGGAGAAAGAATCCAGAGATACTTATACCCTTCTTCTATCCTACCCAGCTGCCTCCCATTGAGTGAGTTCCAATGGCCAAAGCTAACATCCGGGCAGTCCCTTGGACTTCCCACCTCATCTACCTCCTTCTTATCCTCCCCACTGCCCTCAGCATCACCCTCCTGCTCAGTGACTCCCAGCACTGGACCCTTACAGGCAACCTCTACACCTTTATCAACCACTACCGCACGACCG